TTTTTTTTCTCTCTCCAAAGGAGGCCGCTTTACTCGTCGTGAATTTTACGTCCCGTTAATTGAACGCAATTCCCCTCGCGGTGAAACGAAACGGCTTTATATAAAACAAAGAGAACTCGTCCGCTGATGCGAATGTTGAATTCAATTTTCCAACAGAGACACGTTTGAAAGTTTACTTTTTTCCCCCTTTCTTATGTTTCAAGCGGGTCGTTGTCGTTGTCAGAATGATATAGTTTTCGTAGAAACGATAAATCCATGAAACGTGGCTGGATGAGGAAAGTTTTCGCGAAGGGTGGGGCATATTTCACATTTCAGAATGATCATCGAGAATTTGTCGATTTGAACGGCAGTTTTAACCGTTCGAAAGGTTCATATTGCGAGCTGCTGCTCGGTTTTCCTCGATCGGCGAACGAACACCGCTGGATGAATTTTATTACACGGCGAAGGGAATGGAACGAAATTGCAAAATGCGCCATTCCTTTCGATTCACTTACCACGCTCGCGCGCATGATGTCCTGCACGCGAGAATGAAGCTCTCGCATTTACGCTTCGCCAGCGTCCGGGACATTTGCTCGCTCTTCTAGAACGCAATAAAATGAGAGCTAAAAGCGACACGAGTATCGCCGCTGGTGCACCTTCTATCAGTAATCGTACGGTTTAATTCTTTGACGTTGACTCGGGATCGATCGATCGTGTGGTTCTCCCTTCAGTGGGAGAGAGTTATTTCGCCAGGCGCGAGGAAATAAGAATTCGAGATCTGGTTGAATGCTACAAATCATACAAATTGATATTTGATAAAGTCGGCGGTAATTTTTATACTGCGAAGGATGCACTCTCGATGCATCGAGATCACAATCTCACCTAACGTTACGAGTTCAAGTTAAATTTACCAGAAAGAAAGTGTCGTGTAATTCACCAGACGTTCTGGCGAAATTTCGTTCTTTTCGTCTTCTTCTCTCTGTTCTTTTCTTTTTTCTTTTTTTTTTTCCTTGTATATACGAGAAAACGACACAATTCGTTGCAGCAGCGATTCAGTTTCAAACTTTTAAATTATCCCCTCCCCCCCCCCCAACACGGGATTGTATACTTTTGAAGTTTCTGTTTTCCTTACGATAATCGCGCGAGTTAATTCAAAGAGATCAGAGATTCTTCCAGCCGTTGCTCGTTGATTTACATTTCACCCCCTCGGCATTTTCAACATTATTGCGCACGTTTCACCCAAACAAACGCGTCTGATTCTCGCGGGAAAGTATTTGCAAACGCGGGTTTTTTTTCTACGCTACGCGTGACGATTTCCTTTTATCGCCGTGGAAATCTCGTTTCGTTAAAATTACCCATCGACTGACTGAAATTTTGTCAACAGTTCTTTATCGATCTCTTTCTCTTTCTCTTTTCTTTTTCTCATTTCTTTCAGCCGAAAGATGGAAACGGAAAATAACTTGTCGAAATATATATTCCGTACAGCTCTGCACAAATAGACCAGCACGTGGATGATATCGACAAATTAACAAACGACACGACGCCCTTTCTACTTTCAATTACAAAATACGTGATTCTAACGCTAAAACGATTACCTTGCTATTATTTTAATGCAAATTTATTTGTTTGCAGTAACAGTAAAAACGTATTATTATTAAAGTATTATTATTATTGCTATTACTATTATTATTGATATTACTATTATTGCTATTGTTGTTGCTGTTGTTATTGCTATTGTTATTATTACTATTATTATTGCTATTGTTGTTGTTGTTGTTGTTATTGTTATTATTACTATTATTACTGTTGTTGTTACTATTATTGTTACTATTACTGTTGTTGTTGTTGTTATTATTAGTATTGCTATTGTTATTATTACTATTATTATTATTACTATTATCATTATTATTGATATTACTATTATTGTTACTATTATTGTTGTTGTTGTTGTTATTGCTACTATTATTACTATTATTGATATTGCTATTATTTTTACTATTGTTGTTGTTGTTGTTGTTGTTATTGCTATTGTTATTATTACTATTATTGCTATTACTATTATTATTGTTATTGCTACTATTGTTATTATTACTATTATT